GTAAAAGATGGAGCTTTTCCTGCATATTCTCTTTTGCTTCTCTAGGAACTCCTGGTCCTCCCTCCTTGGGACAGGCCTTCTCCCTGCTGGGGATCCTGGAGTACTTCCCCCAGCTCCTCCTTTCTCCTGACCTCCTTTGGCTCCCCTCCATCTCGGCACATGTGAACACAGGCAGCAGCACCATTCTTTTGATTTTGCGCATCCTTCTGCCTGTGTGAATACCTGAGTGAGTATAGTTACAGATGAGCTCCAAGATGTAATCAGTGTTACATCCCCGAAAGAGCCATGCACAAATGGTTCATAGTAAGCATTCAGTAAGCATCTGTTAAAGAAAGAAGGGTGCTTAGAGCAGTAACAGGTTATAAGAGTTTGTGAAATCTAAAATTAGGAAGCCTTTCTCCCCCTTAGCTGTCCACTTAGCTTATTCTCTGCTTATCTGTGGTCACTGGAATGTGGATGTTGTTTTATTGCTTTCCTTACTAAGAAGGGTGATGACGTCCAGATATTTGATTTCTTATGGTGAAATGATCATTATCTTCCCTTCACTCCTTCTCAGGTGTAGTACTGATTTACATTTCAGTAACCAACATCTGTCAGATACCTGCTGTCCTGTTGTGGTCACTGGGTCCATGGATGTGTCCAGTCTTCCGGAGGATTGGTGGTGGGAGGAGTAGGTGGACCACCTGAAACCCTTCCTGAAATCCATGCAGTCAAAATACCTGATAAAGGATGCACATCACATGCTGCATGTCCCATTGCATCCTTGTGGCTTGTGGAATGTTTGTGCTTGTGTTTATTTGCACAGTGGATCAGTCATTCCTCTGTTAGAGGACCCTGGCAGGGATTTCTGGACTCCTCCATTAGCATTGTATTGCTGGCTGCCTTCCAGTTTCAGGATTGTACCCCCTGCCTGTCTGTTTCTGCTACCACAACAGAAGGCAGCGAAGGGCAGGGTCTTTCTTGACACTCCCGCCTCAGTCTGAGCCCTAGCTTCTCCCTGCCTGGCTCAGTTTCCATAAGTGCCACAGCTCTGGAAGCCCTCACATCTTTATCTCTGATGATGGGAATATGCACATCCCTCGGAAGAGCAGCTCAAGATTCCAGGGGCCAGTGTGGCACGGAGCAGGCTTGACTTTCACCCACCCTCTTCTACTCATGGTGTCCCCAGGCTGCTCCTTGGCTGCTCAGCCTGTCTTGTTCTGGGCACACACAGACTATTTCATAGCTTTAGACCATACCTGTTCTACCACCCCTTTCCATCTCTCTAGTCAGATGCTTTTTAAAAACCATGTAGCGTTCCAATGTCTTCTTTGTTTTTGTTCATAATAAAAGAGATGAAAAAATTTCATTTCTGACTTCCCACGTCTCCATAAATTGCTTTAATAGTTTCATTCTAACCAAGAAGAGACTAACTTAGCAACATCTTTCTAATTTACTCCTTTCCCTCCACTCTTCACTAGTGCTTACTTAAAGGAAATGGAGGGTGGTGGGCCGGGGGGACTGGTTTGGTTTTTTTGTTTTCTTTGTTTTGTTTTTGTTTTATTTACACTGGACTGCTGTTTTCCAATAAGGTGCCTTCTATACAATGTTTGCTTTTATTTTTATTTAAACATTTAAAACATATGTAAACAAACTATTGAATTAGTTTCTTCTTCATCAAGTAAAGCAGCTTGAGGACACTCAGCAGCCCACCTCATTCAACCCTACAGAGGAGTCATATGCTCTTGTTAGATGAGAAGCACTCATTTCAGGAACCAGGGTTTGTGAGCAGGTTCAGGCTGCTGATGAAAAGCAAATCTAACAGAAAACTCTGTGAACAACAACAACAAGACCACTGAAGTCCAGATCAGAAACCTGGTATGTCAGCTCATGAAGATGCAGATTCTCCTCTGCCCACAGCACTCTACTCATTACCACTTCCGGCAGCGCCTCTTGGCAGAAAAAGTTTGGCGGGGGGAGGAAGCACGGTTTAGGTTGGCTGCAGAGACATGGGGCATACACGTCTTCTCTCCGAGGAGGTGCAGTTTCTTCATTCATTTCCCCTTTTAAAATTTACTCTGCGCATTTATGGGTAAACTTTAGAGCTCGTGAACACAAGGAAATGGTATCATGGGCTTGAGCCTCGTAGTATGTGGCCTGGCAGTGTGCTGCTGCGGTTCTCAACCTGAGCCACTTTCTTTCCCGGTTCAGCTCATCCTGTTGACTGTGGACTCTGGGAAATGCAGGCTCCAAGCCTATATTCAAGATGTGAGTTGTGTCTACACCTATGGCCTGGTGGCTCTTTGGACCTAAATCGGGACCCCAGTTAAATGTCTGATCACCAAGGAGTGCAGCAGATGCACCTGAGCTTCAGAACCAGCTTCACGTTTTCTTACTTTCCTTGCCACAAGATGAGCCAGAGCTGACCCTGGCATGACTGTCACAGGGTTCAGATTGCAGGTCTTGTTGGAATCATATAAGTGGTCTGTTCATTTGATATTATAATAGTAGTAAAAATTCAAATCTTCTTTTTCTTCAGCTACCAAGTGATCTCTCTCTCTCATTTGCCAGATGAAAAAAAAACCATCTCAGAAAGGTGTTTGTCTTTACTGTATTTACACATTTTAAGTGTTTTATAGATTCAATGGCCTTAGAAAGCGTGGTTTACCCAAGAGCATAAGCTTAAGGGGAAGACAGTGATGAACATGTAAAGAGAGGACCAAGTCAAGGTGTCCCAGAGCAGGCTCCCACCGGCTCATCTGGGCCATTGTGCCGGCCCTTCTTTACAATCCACATTGCTGCTTCTGCTGTGGTAGTGTCATGTTGCTCATTTGTCAGCCAGAGTATTGGAGGAAGCACAGGAATCATTTACACTGATGTGGGCGGGGTTAGTGATATTAACAAGGAACGATGACACCTGCCAGGTGATATGGAAGGACAAAAGACAGGTGCCACCACCAGAGGCCTGGGGAGAGCAGTAGCGAGGCAGGGTATATTTGTCTTTTTGATACTGTAACAAAACAACAGGGGCAGGCTACTCTATAAAGAAAAAAACTTATGCAGCTGACTGTTTAGATGCTGGATGTCCAAATGGCATGATGGAGGCTGCTCCTGGCTGTGTATATCATGGTAAGGATGCAGTGTGGCTTGCTGTCTGTGGGGTCTTTCTCGTCTCTTAATAAAGCCACCAGGATTCAAGCAGGGAGCACCACCCCCATGACCTAATCAGATCTAATCACTACCCAAAGATTCCACCTGAATCAAATTCAAGTTCCATATGCTTAATACCCTTAAAACCGACTCTGAGAATGAAACTGCTGCATGAGTTGAAGGGACAGCCCATATTCAGACCATAAAAGAAAGAGACCCCCTGTAGGAGCAGACCAGGGTAGACCAACCATGGCCAGACAGAGGAGGAGGCAGGGACAGCTGTTAAAATGCAAACAGTCCCATCAGGGAAGGCTGAGCCTGGCATCCCAGGGGGAGGAGTGAAGGTAATTTTGTGCAGAGCACGAACAGAATTACTGCCCCCAGCTGCCAGGCTCTTCTGTTCTTCCTCTAGCTTTGCGTTGCCCATTCCAGCTTCAAAGTAGTCCTTTTGGTTTCTCAACTGGAATGCTTGGGGTGAGGTCACTTTCCCACCCCTAGAGCAGTCTGAATGATCTTCCTCCTAGAGAGAATCTGTAAATATGAAGGCACTATAGATGCAAAGTTCATAATACTGTAAAATGCAGAATCAGATGTGCCTATGTGGAGGCTCACAGATACATTTACTGTAGACAAGGCAGGGTGCTGGGCTGCAAAAACTTCTTAAAACATACAGAAGTGGCATAGGAAGTGTCCGGTTCCCAGGTGGTGTGTGAAGATCTGGAGGAATTTGCAGCCATGAGGAAGATGTCTCTCATAATAAGGTCGTCACTCTGGCGTGGGTGCTGATACAAGTCTAGCCATTTGTGGAGGACCCAGAAATCTAAACCAAGGAGGATTCCAATGCAGGGCAATAGTTCTCATCTCCATAGAGTTGTGAACATGAGTTAAGATGTCTTTACACTTGCAGATTGCATTGCCGTACTACAGGGTGGTCTTTGGGAGGCCTTAGCCAGAGGATGAGCTGACCAGTGGCCCTGTACCCTCTGGCTCATCCAGTGCAGCCAGAACAAACCCTCCTGTGAGGTTGGCGGGTACTGGCAATCAGGTGGAACAGTATTGGGTTTCAGGTGATTAAAGTACTTTGGCTTCCTTGGTTACAACATTAATAATCATGTATTGAATATTTTAATAAGTCAAATATTCCAAATAATAAAATTGAATTCTAGTAAGTAAAAAGTGACATTTTCTCCCTAGACAAGAAGGTCATATGGCCATGTGAGAAGAAGTAATAGCAACAGCCATGAGGAGAGCAGGAGCCCTGCGGGAGAGTTACATGTGCCCTGATGAGCAGCGTCTTTCTGCAGGGTCCTTAGCAGATCCTCTTGGACACTCAGGGACTGGGGACTTCCACCTTAAATTAATGTTGCCAGTTCTGTATTTCAGAAGATTACCCTCCTCCCCCAAAAAGATTTCCTTGTTTATGCATCTGTGGTGGCCCCAGCCTTCATCACTAGTCTTGACTCATGGGACACGTATTTGCTGAGTGCTGGTTATGTTTGCCATAATCAGACAAATTTAAATATGTGTAGAGACCACCGTGAGGGAACCTAGAGTCTAATGGGGGAAGTAGACTCATAAGCAGGTGTAGAAAGGAGCATAAGTCCTTATCCATGCTAGTTGTCTGCTAGGCAGATGCCTCAATCTCGGGGTTAGAGTGGGGAGTTCTGCTGTCACCAGCTTTCCTGAGGATTGATCAGTTGGATGCAGACAGCTGGAGCCCAGGGCTACAAAATAAATCCTTAGGGTTGAAATACAATCTGTAGAACATTGTGAAAACATTTATGCCCTCAATGCACTGTATCAGTTCTCTGAAACCTGTTTGGAGAGGAGAGGAAATGTACCAGTAACAGTGGTGATGATTTCTATCATAGGCCTGTTCTCTGGCTCTCTGGAAGGGAACAGCCCACAGCCCACGTTGGATGATTTGGACAGAGAGGAGACCTATTTTCATGAACACTGACCTGCACACTGCCGGCCAGAGTGTATGTGTTTGTGTGTGTGTATGTCTTTGTCTGTGTCCTGTGCCTTGACAGATAAACTGGGAACAGGAAAGGGAGGGCATAGACGGGAGTGGGTTTCCTGGGGCAGCTCACGGATCTGAAGGCAGCCCTGATCTTCCCAGCTCTGTGGTCAGATGTGTGTCTGCTCTGATGCTGGCTGTGTGGGTTTCTGCGCTCACAGGGCGAGCAGTTGAGATGAGAGTCTAACCTCTCAGCAGCTCAGAGGGGCTTCTCTGTATTTCTTCCAGGCCAGAAAAGAACAATCAAACCTAACACTTGTCACAGCAAATCTCACACATTTTTCCTACAGATACTATCTGCTTGCTTGCTTGCTTGCTTTCTCTCTCTCTCTCTCTCTCTCTCTCTCTTTCTCTTTCTTTTTTTTTTTTTTTTTTTTTTTTTTTTTTTTGGTACTGGGGATCGAACTCGGGTCCTTAGCTTTCGAGGCAGGCGGTGGAACCACTGAGCTAAATCCGCGGCTATCTGCTTTCTTTGATCCATCCCATCATCAGACTAAAGCTCACAGAAGTAATTTGTCTGAAGTTGCAGAGTTAACCAGACAAATAGGGTGTATTACTAACATCTGTATTATTGAATCTTTTTCCCCTGTCTCTTTCCTCCCTGATATAATTTAGAGGAAGTAAATCCCATTTTCTTCCTTTCTTAGAAATGAATACACTGTGTACCTTGAAAAATATCATCAATTTTCTTTTTCCCCCTTGAATTTTGTTTGCATTACATCCTGAACTTACTTGGCTGAAATAAGCTAGAAATTCTTTAGCCAAGTTACAAAACTGGGCTTGCCTCCCTCCCAGTCATTGTCCTTCCAGGAGATTCAGCCACGTTTCTTCCTAACTTCACATCTTCATGCTTGTCAAATTGATTTGCTGTTGAAAGAAGAAGTATGTTTTTAAATATTTTTAATCTCTCTTGACCGAAGAGAAGGGAAGATACAAGCATATCATCAATTTAATTAATTTGAAGGTGATAACTTTCACGAATGTTGTTTTCTCAAAGTAAGATAGTAAATGTCATTGAGTTTGAATACTGTCTCCCTACTTCATTGTTTTTAAAACAAAGAAAAATGCCCTATAATCCCAGCCTGGGGGCAGTAGGGACCCTAAGCTCATAGCTCAGGACTTCGGTGACAGGGATTTTGGATGCTCAGGAAATCTTCATAATGACCCAGCTCCAATGAAGGCTGGCCTCACTCATTTTGTAGTCAAGTTTGGAAGGTCCAGCACGCCGTCCCAGTCCCAAGACAGCTTGGGGTGTATTGTGGGGACACTACAAGCTGAGGCTAGACCTTGACCCTGTGCTTCCACTCTGTTCCTTCTGCGCCTAAGGGACTCAGCAGTGCCCCCCTGCAGCCTTGGGGTGAAGGTTAGTTCACATCAGGGCATGCAGAACCTCCTGATCTGTCACCTGCCACTCAGTCTAGCCTTCCTCCCTTTGTCTGTTCCCAGCTGTGAACACTCTCCCCCAACCCCACCTGTCTGCCTAGTAAGCATTTATTCATTTTTCAAGCCCAGATTGTTAACCATCAGCCCTCCACCTGCTCCCCTCTTGGCAGGTACCTTTATTCACTTACTGATTTATCCAGCTAATATTTGCCCCAGGCCCCAAGGTGAGCACTTTTGGGAGCTCCCTGCCTTGGGGAGCTGAAGGTCAGACAGGAGGGCAATGTGCCTGTCAGGATGCAGCCATCTAGGGACTGCGCCTGGCTCTGCAGAAACGGACGGAGGACAGAGGAGCCTCACATCAGGATTTCCAGTCTGAGGCTCCTCCACTCTCCCATATCTGTCTCCAGCTCCTGAGGCTAAGAGGTCCCATCCAGTGCAGGGGCTCCGGAGCCTGAGGATGCGGGGTAGTGGCCTCTGCTCTCACCTGAGCCACCTAGGGAGGAAAGGGCCTCCCGCCAAGGCTGCTTAGTCTCCCCTCAGAGGAAGGGCAGGAAGGCCACCAGGGTGAGGAAGGGGCTGTGGACAGGCTGCTCTGATGTGAAGGCGACCCCATCTCAGGATCTGATGACAGCCTTTCTCTGAGGGCCAGAGAGGAGGGTCATGGATGCACTGTGCAGGGTCACCGAGCCCTGTGCCGCCTGAGCCCAGGATGTGTAGATCGTGCTCTTTACTCTGCTTCCTAGGGTAAATTAACAGGAAGGTTAGAAACCTTCTGAAGGCACATGAATGCCTCTGTAGAAAGCACTTCTGCTTTTGGAAAGAGTTATTTTTTATCTCTAATAAATAAAAGTGCACTCAAAAAGAATGTCAGTGAGCTCCTCAATGAAAGGTTCTGGGTAAATTTGTGGCATATAAGACACTCTAGGGTTTATTTTCAGTGTTAGCCAGAAACACCTGCCCTTGATATCACAGAGTTCTTGTAAAGATGTTTACTTAGTCTTTGTTAAAATATGTACTTTTAGCTCTTCACCTTTTATGTACTTTGTAAATTCAAACTATAAATTATAACATTAACTCAGAATGTTCAAATGAAATGAACCTGCTCCTGTTTTCTCTTTTACCCTTTTTTGGGTCAATTTCAGTAGATCTAGAAATAGAACATTCTTTTACTTCCATTTGACTTGAAAGCTTGTAATATAAACTATTTTCTTCTCCTAAAGGCATGAAGCCTTGAGATTATTACTAACAGAAGTAACCATTATTATTTAAGGAAAACTATCCAAGTTATATGGAATCATTCCCAGAAGTTATATTATTCTATATGTTGTAGTTAGTTTAAAAATCTAGGTGATGTTTTTAAAAGATATTAAAAGTGTTTAAAATCCTTTTTTGCACAAAATATTTGTAATTTTTATTAGGGAGCTTTATTTATATTTATGAAATTCTTTTATTCTTTATCACTTATTAAAAGTAACAGACTATTTAAATGTTTAAAAGAAACATTCCGTATTATAATATAGAAATTTCTGTTTGGTTTTTTTCTTAAACTTTTTTAAAGAAAAAATAATACCCAATCCATTAAAGTTTATTTTAAATAGAACCCTCTTTAGATATGTCTGTATCATCCTTATGCTTGGAAATACAAAGTTTTGTGTGTTTTTTTTGTACCAGAGATCGAACTCGGGACCTTGCACTTGTGAGACATGCAGCGGAACCACTGAGCTAAATCCCTGGCCCAAAACAAACTACTTTTTACAGTGTTCGTAGTAGTAACATGTTGTTAGTAGTAAAGAGAAAAATTTCAATTATTAAGATCGTTACAAATTAATTTATACAATCTAAATTAATTACACAAAGATTAAGAAAAATCTTTGCAAATATTAAAGAAAGGTCTTTTGTCAATTTAATGTATTTTTTTTTTTTTTTAGTACCGGGGATTGAACTTGAGACCTTGCACTTGCTAGGCAGGTGTCAGAACCACTGAGCTAAATCCCCAGCCCAATTTAATGAATTTTTGTAATGACTTCTTCATTACAAAAATGTTCATGGTGCAATTTATTTTCCAGGCTTAATTTGAGAGGTGCTCAGAAATTCTGCAATTCAGTTGATCCCCCCATTGGTGCCTAAATCTCACCATTAGCATTTTTATTTCCTCTGTGCTGAACTTTGGTTCCTTGATGAGCTTTTTTTTCTTCTTAAGGAGCTCTCTTTTAGAGACACAATTTTCAGTGTGATTGGTTCTGTCCATCTGCTTTGTTTCTGGACACTGCCCAGGTTCCCTGGGGGACAGGGATTCTGAAGCTTCTGGATGCAAGAAGCAGGGCTGCTGTAGGCCCAGCTCAGAGCAAGGAGCAGAGCTCACTGGCCCAGCTCTGTCAGTAGCACATGTTTTGGTGGCAGATGTGTGTCCAGGGCTCCCATGAGCATTTTGACATGGCATTGATTCTAACCTGAGGCTTTGTAGGATAAATTCAGCTCACGGGGCAAAAGGTTGGCATATGCTACTTGCCCATTCCATCACTGAGAACCAGAAATGAAAGCAATGGTGAAATGCTGACTGAAGTGGAGTAACCAAAGTTAACCTGCCCTTCCCTGTTGTGTATTGCAGAGGCTGGAGCACAAGGAAGTCCTCGTGGGCTTGTTGTTCCTGGTGTTCCCGTTCATTCCCGCCAGCAACCTCTTCTTCAGGGTGGGCTTTGTGGTGGCCGAGAGAGTCCTTTACATGCCTAGGTAACTGCTGCAACCATTCCCTCTTTCCAGCCCTGCCCTCTGTGCCCAGCTTTGAAATATTGGAGAGACCATCCTCTGCATGATGACAGGTTCTCGCGAAGCTCAGGTTTCTGTTATCTGAAGTGTAAATACAGCTGCACAGAAGGCTGGTGAGACTCCACTTGCACACTCACACTCTAGTGTCAGAGGTTTGCCTTTAGGAGCAAGCTCACAGCTAAATAGAAAGTACTGACTTGAAGACAGTCAGGATTTTAGCAGTGTTGCTTACCTCACCACCTTTGTCCAAATATGTTTTATTAAATATAATTTTCTAGAAATATTTGATTTGCATAAAATATTAATGATGACCAACATCTTCTCTTTTTTCCTTTCCCTGTTTTTAAATTTAATTTAACAATGGGAATAAATGAAGAAAATGTGTCCTTGAGAAAAAAATGATTTAAAAATTATGGAGGACATTCGGACGTGTGTGCTTTGTAGTGTTGCTTGGCTCTGAGTCCTTGAACAGCACCAAAGCTTGTCTGTCCTCCTGTCTTACTTAGATGTCATCCTTCCCAGGCTGCATTTCTGTCTAGATGCTGGGAAGCATCACTGAGTCAGGTGACAGTCTTATTTTTGCTATTTACCAGTTGTGCAGCCTTGAGTAAGACATCAAGCTTTTGCTTCAGATTTTCTCATTTTTAAAATTTAAATTTTAGTGACCTTCCTAAAATTAATATTTTGGTGTATCCACCTGCCATTTCAAGCAGTTCATTCTCTATAAGTTCTACAATAACTTCTGAAATTCTGTAAGAATGAACTTTTCTAAAAGGCAGTATCACAAACCAAAATATTTTAAGAAAATTGTTTTTGTTTATGAGATTATGCTTGATATTTCTAAACATGCATAGTTGGAAATGAGCTTCATGATCTCCGATTGCCTCACCCCAAGAGCCTCACAGCTTTCCCAGGACTTGGCAGTGTGGTGTTTTGACTTGGCGGGGGTGGGAGGTAGAGAGGCATCCATCAATCCACCACCTTGCTCTCAGTGTCCTTAGGACCATGTGTGAAGGAGGTTATTCCTTGGTAACACTACTTGACGAGGAAAAGCTACAGTGCAGTTTTTCATGTTCCATGCTGTCCAAAGAGGGGTCTTGTGCGAGCTTGCCCATCATAAGAAATACACCTAGCCCATAGACATCACAGCAGCCCTTGGGCTGTGGGGAGTGTTTTCGCTTGTCCCAGTTAGTCCTTCTCTGCAGTGTGATGATTCCGGTTCTTCATTCAACAGATATTTATAGAACATCGGTGCCACAAGTGCTGCACAGCATCTGCAGTTGCATCTGCAGTTGCAAAGACAACTGAATGTCAGGTCTCTTCTCAGAGTTTATTAACTGTTCATTAACAAAATGAAGTTTTTTTTACTCTGTTTAATAGGTCCTGATATTCTCTAAAGTACTACTTACTGTACTTATTAATTAATATTAGTCTACCATTAATTGTGTCCAAACATTTATTGAGCATTTATTGCATTTTAGTCATCATGCCAAACATGTTGTATTCTTCATATCCATTGATTGGCACTGTGAGCAGAGGCTTCCCAAAAACCTGGAAACCCACACAAATTCTGGCTTAAGCATTAGTATGATTTCTCTAGGCTTCAGTTTTCTCCACTGTATAAAGTTGGGGATATAACAGCACCCAACTGAGTGGTATATGTAATCAGTAAATGAGATAATCACATGCAAAACTTAGAGAGTGTTGTGCATTATACATGGCTGGAGAATATTAAGTATTATTGTTAATATAAGCTGGTACTATTGTCATTATTTTACCATAATGAAGTCTGAGCTCTTGAGAGGTTGAGGGGCTTTGCCCAGGGTGACATGCTTTACTGTGGGGCAGAGCTGATGTGCAGATCCTGGTCTACTGACCAGACCATACCTCCTCTCTCACAGGTATAGCTCAGTATTCTTCTCAAGAAAGAAAAAGAAGAAAATGTAAGCATGGCAAAGTCATTTTGCTTTGCTCCATTTGGTGATGGAGCCTTGATACTTCAAAGAACCTCGAGATCTGACCCTCAGGAGTCTGGTGTTCCCAGTGAAAAGGAATCACAAGTGTGGCAGGGGTTTCCTAGTCTAGGTACAGTAGATAAGAAGGGAGAATGAAGTGTCTGGCCGTATGGAAGTAGTATCTTATTTAATGGGCTTCCTCTCACCCAGACAAAAGTCCCCCAAATGCCCCTAGGACTGCACCAGCTTGGGTTCTTCCCATGCTGCTATGTCTCTGGTGGCCTCTCTGTAATGTCATGTATTTCTTCTAGAAATAAAATGCTCCCTTCCCCAAGAAATGATATAATTTGGGTTAAGATAAAACTGATCCATATGAGAGAAGCATCAGTATTGCCAAGAACAAGTGCCTGCCACTGAGACCCAGTTTGGATTTGCTTTATGTGGCCAACTCCATGACGAGGTGCCCTGAATCACTTTCAGTGAGGTGATCTTCATTGCAGAGGTCGCTCTGTTTCTCTCTCAAGTTCTGTGTCTCTGCATTGCCATGTTGTTACCAAGGCACTGTTTTCTGATGCTTTCTCCCAACTACTCAGTGACTCCTGGATTCATTTCTGTGTCACCTCTGTGCCCAGCAGTCCATGAGCTTGTAGAGCTGGAGTTTTAGCAGGCCAGAGTCCTGTGGTCAAGGAGGTAGAGATATGGTCCTGCCCCACGGGGTTACCTGGGGCTGATGACAGGGTCTGGTCACTGCATCTGTAGTCCTGATCATGTCAGAGTTTAATGTGGACCAGGAGGCGTGGTTGTTTGAATCCCAGTATTTCTTCACATCATCACTCTATAGAAACTTGTGAGGGAGCTGCTTTACTTATGGCCCTGGATTCTGTGCTCATCCAAAACCGTGCCCCATTAGCTGGCCGGGCTGAGTGAGAAATTAAAGCCTTTGAGGAAACTTCTGTGGCATGTCTGTAGAGTATTTCTTGTTACTTTGTCAGAGCCGTTTTATAAGTATCCGAGTTCCCTTTGACAGTGAAAGTCTGTCTCGGAAAGAGATATTACCTGACAGTGGCTACTGCCCTGTTGCAGTAGAAAATTGAGGCCAGTGGGGTAGAGAGCTACTGAAGTCCTCCCTGGGCCAGGGGGGAATGTTAAAAAAGACACCCAACTTGTAATGCTTCTGAAGAAGGTGAACTTCCTCCTGCTCACTGTGTTTGTTTCAGGCTCTTGTGAAGCCTTAAAGGTTTTCATACTTGGTCATCCAGCCTCCCCAAAGCCTGGCTGAGTCTACCAGTTCTAAGTGCTGATTTGGCCGTTTTACAAGAAAAGCCCAGTGATTCAGACCATCAGTGCCCTTTCGTCTCCTGAATTTATGCCTAACAATGAGGAAGCCACTTAATTCTTTTGACTTCTGCTTCCATCCTAACCCAGAAAAGTCCTGTAGCAACCCCTTCTGATTTGTACTTGGAATGTGGATAAAAGGGACAGAAATCAGCTGTTCACTTAGCACTGCATGGCTTTTAGGATCAGGGTTTTACTATCCGAAGACATTGGGAATAATATTTTCTTGATAAATGTCAGTTTGTACATATCTTTTGTGAACATGGAGGAGAATTTGGGAGTTGAAACCATTCTTTCATAGAAATTTTTCTCTCTTATTCTTCTCCCAAAAGAAGCATATAATTTTATGGCTTTTTTTGGTATTTTATGAAAAACCACATTAGAAGACTTCAAAGGACTAAATTTTCTTAGAATTGATGAAGCAGAAATAGTCGAGAAAAGCTCTCAGAAAGTAACTGAATACTCACCCGCCTGCCACATTATGGGTGATTTATTCACTTTGGGGCCAAAGAGCAAATTCCTGTGCTACTAGAGGAAAACTTGAATGGACAGGTCAAAGGAATTGATAGGAAGAATTGAAGGCAGAAACAATATTTTGGTTAAAAGTAATAAAACAAAAACCTGAGGGCATAGAAGTTCAACAGTATGAATTTTAGGGGGGAAAAGAAAGTAAAAACTACCCCATGCTTTTAGAAAGACATGCATTTGTTCTGTGTCACCCCAGCACTCATGGCCACATTAGACATGGAGCCTTAGAAAAGAGTGAGCGTCATTCATCTTCAAATTTGAGAAGTTTCTTCAAATCCTAGTCATTTGAAGTGAAAATTTTGATTTTGTCCTAGTTGCTGTTGGTGTGATACTGCAGTGCCTGCTCCTCAGGAGGCAGACTGAGAGGCACCCGCTGTGTGTCATGCTCCTCTCCTGTGTGGCACCTGCCCTTCTGGTCACCACCTGTCCAGGGGCACATCTGCTCAGAGTCACTAGAGAAAGGTCCTGATGATTTGAGAGTATAGAGTTAAATCTATGCAGTTTTATAAAATTGTGAAATTATATCTTTCCTAGATTCTCCATATCTGTCATGCTTAGAGACAGCCCTTTGGCTTCTTTCCCACCCCCGCCCCCACAATCTTTTAGAAATTTTAATAGTTTCTGAAATTGCAAACTCTGATGACCACAGTGCTACATAACCTCTAAGGGCCTCACAGAGCGACATTTCAACTGCTTTATGATCCAGGATAACTTTGTGAAGCCAGGCTTCCTCCCTGTAAGCCTCTTCTGCAGTGGTTTCCTCACATGTGGTGACAGTTCTGCCCACGTTCAGCTGGACAGGTGCAGTGGGGAGGGCAGGTGTGTCCCGGGGAGAGGAGCAGAGGAAGGAGGCCTGGGGCCTGGGGACCTGCCCTGCAGGGTCCAGTGTCCACAGCAAGTGTCAGGACCATCCATGTGGGCTCCGCTGTGAGGGGTGGGGTCCTGAGAAGCGGCAGGAATGGGGAAGCTTAGACACTCACAGGGCGGCAGCAGAGAGGACTGGGTGTCAGGAGGATGTGGTCCCCTGCCACTGGGGAGGTGACTTGAGCCTTGGCAAAGCTCCCTCCTTGAGGTGACGGCACAGATGGCTCCTAGAGAGGAGCAGTGGGGAGGATGGGTGGGATTCTGGGCCAGGGCTGCAGCCTG